TGTAAAACTGCTGCTGCTTCACTGTAGAGAATCGATTGTTTTATCATGATCAGAACTACACTTGGAAGTTTTTAAATAACACCTGGAGTCTCCAGCTTTGGTATTTGAGCTTCAGAGCTTATTGTTTTTAAGTTTCTGAAGTTGTAACTAAATATACCTCCTTTCATGGCAGATGCGTCTTTTAGGAAGTTCCCTACTGGTGCTGTCCAGCCTCTGCTCTCCCTTGTGCTGATACAGGTATTTGTGGAGCTGAAATGAAAGAAACTGATTCTTTATATTTGGTCTTCAGCATTGTTAATGGCCATTTCCAGGAAAGCAATTTTTAAAAAGTAATTTCAGTGTTTTGGTGTGTGGTATTGACCCTCAAGGGAGTGCCAGTGGGACTGGGAAGAGGGGGGAGCTTGGAGTTTCGTAAGCAGTCTTTGTTGTCAGAAAGAGAGTAACCCTCTGTGTTCTGGTAGTGAACAGAAGTTCAAGAACATGCTGTTAGTATAGTGATACAACTGATGTTGGCAATGTTGAAAGGAAATTATTTTTTTTTTCCCCATGATTCCCATAAAAATATCAGTCATATCTGAAAATTCAGTAGTGTTCTTCCCCATAAGTCAAGTTCAGTCTTAATGTAGTGCAAGAGTGCTGCAACTATGAAGGGCACTTCTCTAAACCCTCCTATCCCTTCAGGGAAAAAAATAAATAATTTCATTATTTCAAGGTTGAAGGAGAGGCTTTTTTTCTCTGCTCCAGACTTTCAGAAAAGACGGAGGTATTTTCCAGAGGCAGAGAATGGGAACTGTGACAAGAGGCCAATATTCAGATGTGTTTGTGCTTGTCTTCAGGTTGTTCTCATCTATCCTTTTGATGGCTGTGTTGACTGGTGGTGTAATTGTTTTGAAAATGAGCATATACAGGAAATAGGAAGTTGCAGTTATGATGGATGGGTAAATGGAGTGGAAAAATTGGATATGCTGAAATGCAAGTGGGATTTAAAATTGTACTAGGTCTACTTGAAAGATTAATTAGAGAAGATACAAAAAATTAGCCCAGAGGCAGTAAAAAAGCAGGGAGGGAGAGAGGGATTGACTGGCCAAGAGAACTGTTGCAAAAGGGAAGGCTTTGTAGAGATTAAGTCAGATTTGGCAAAATTCACAATGAGGTAACTAATGGTATTAACCCCCCCAAAGTTAAAATATTCTTTAGCTATGTAAATGAAAACACAATTAGCAAAAAAGCAGATTTGTCGTGCAGCTGGAATGTAGATTAGGAATAGTTTAGGCATGGTCTCCAGACTAAATTAATAAGGAAAAAGCAGTGGACCAGCAGGGTAAAAGCAAGATACTTACAGGGAACCAGGGCATAGAATTAGAAAATTGCACAAAATCTCCAAACTTTAATGCAGTCAAGTTGTGGTTATCAGAGAATCTCTGGGCTGAGTTCAGACACAGTGTATTTGAGAAATCCCAAGTTGAAGGCAGCTATTCTTAATGAAAATACATTGGTGGAAAATGGTGACATTTGATCAGAGGGCAGCAAATTTAATGCCTATAATTAAGTCAGCAGAGGAAAACCGATAATGGCTTCAGCAGGGCCTGACTCAGAAGTGGTCCAGGCTTCAGAAAATAGTTTAAGGGGAAAAAGATAAATAGCAAGCAAGATACGCTGCAGTATAATTTGGTGTCTTACTGAAAATAGGATGTGCCCAACCAGCTTGATGCTTTAAGAAAATCTGCTTTTTCTTCGTTAAGACCTGGTGTCTGATAAAGTGCTAATAGGAAGTCTAGAGGAGATTAGGAGTGAAAATATTAACTGAGTAAGATGGATAAGCAGAAGGAATGCTTCTGAAAGAAGTATTGGGCTGAAGAGAGGTTAATAGTAGAGTTACTCTGGGATTGATTTTAAAACTCATATTGTTTAGTACTGTTCTTATTTTGCGGAATGCAAAAAGTAAGATGGATCACTAAAAATTTACTGATGAGGGCGTGCTGGGAGGGAGGAGCATGATACGTTACAGCAAGTGCTGAATGGCTCTGAGGTCTGGAGTTGTGGGGAGAAGAAAGAAATTCACCAGTAGAATATGCATTTAGAGACTGAAACAAAGGGTAAGCTCGAAACTAGTCAATGAAAATTATAGAAGAAAAGATATTTCCAGCTGAGTTACAAAGTAATTAACACCAGTGAATGTCCTTCCAGTCATCTGCATTGGAAAAGGAGGGATACAAACTGGAGCAAATGCAAAGGAAAGTTATGGGTTAGGCAACTCAGAACTCTCTTGTGAGAAGAAACTAAAAGCTTGGGGTTGTTTGTCTGGGACTACAGAAGTTAGAGGGAGATAGGATTATTAATGATAAACTCAAACACACATGCAGGGAAGCAGAGCTTTTAAGAGAAAGGTCTGTTTTGAAGCAAGAGCAGATGGATAGAAGTTGGTAATCAGTAAACCTGGAAATCTGATGGCTCTTACTTGTAATAAGAGCAGTAGGATTCTAAAGCCATTCAGTTAGAATAGGGAGATGCTTTATTACCTTTAGGCTGGAGCTTGCTAATTTTGTAGAGTGTATGGTGTGCCTCTGATAACCCCAGAATAATTGTAGGTTGATGACCTTGGAGATATCTTCAAGATTTATATTTGTATAATCAGGGGTATTTTATGTCTGCAGAAGATTAAGCATTGGGCCAAAAAAAAAATTTTTTTAAATAAAATACACGTTCTCTTTAATGATAGTGAGACCTCCTTTTCCATAAAAATTGTTTGATTTTGCTGATACAGTAATAACAAATTGAATTCAAAACTATGCCAGTAGTACATGATAAGAAAAAGCAAAAGAGAAATAGCAACAGAGCAGGATTGCAGAAGATGCTGTTAGAATTTGAGGGAAAGTAGAACAAGAAGTCTCACTTCTGATGCAAATCTTGGGAACTAAGAGCTTGATGTGAGTATGGGCATAATGGTGTCATTCTAAATTCATGAAAATAGCTTTACAAATGAAGGAGAGGCAAAGTGGGGTCAGTGCAATTCAAACACACGATGACAATTTTGGCCTAAATAGAATGCTCTTTGTGACTAGATGAATTAATTACTGTAAGACAGTGTTCTTGCTTGTCATTCTGATTCTTTCTGCTTGTTAATCACTCGTAAATTGTAGCTATTGCAATAATATTAAGATTTATTACTTAATAAAATTTTGCTAATCTCTTTTATGGTTTAACATTTGTTCACGTATTGATGTAAATGTTTTGAAATGTGTTTTATTTTACATTTCTACTCTTTGTCCTCTGTACAAAGTACTTTCTTTCTGCCTACTATTATTCTACTGAAACATTGTATGACTGTTTTAAATGTTTTGCTTTCATAGTCAAGCTTAATTTGCTTATTCAGCAAATTTCATTACATACCAAGTCTGAGCTGAGAAAGAGACTAGGGTACAAAAAATAAGTTCCAGTCGCGATGAGTAGGAACATCTGTAGAATAATTTAGCTTATTCTTTGTACCTCATTGATCTTGTAGTGGTTTCAGTATTTCCCTTCATACTGCTTATGATGGTGCTAACACACTTTAGGAAACTTTGGATCTAATGGAGGTACTAACAGAACTCAGTTTGCTATGAAAGGGGTGAAATTTCCTGTGCTGTTAATCACAGGGAAAACTTTAAACTTGAAAACTGGGAAAGTTGTAGTAAAAGTGAAACGGAGCAAATAATAATAGGGAAATTTATGTGTATTTATTTTCACAAGGACACACTTATTTTTAGTTGTACAAATCACTGTGGTCTTACTAAATATATTTTTTTTTTCCTCTTGCTTTTTTCAAAGAGCTGCTGATCTTTTGAAAAAAAAAAAATTGAGGGAATTAATCTTCTATTTATCCAAACTATTATTGTGTTCTTTCTCTGTGTTTTTTTGTTTAATTACAAGGAACATTTGCATGAAAATAGAATTTTAAGACTTAAACTTCTGATGCTTTATCCCAGCTACACAGTTAAACTGCATTTATTGTATTTGTAAACTAAAACAACTGTTGTTTTGTAAAATCCTTTGCATGCTTTTTTACACTAAATTATTAATGAATATGTGATAATACACTTTAGAAAGGTTCCCCCTTGAAAATACATACCACTATGGTATAAATCTCCTTCCTCTCCCTCCATGCCATCATATCTTCTACAAAACCTTCCAAGGAAGTCATATTGGTAGTCATCTCATTTCAGGGGCCAGATAGACTAGATTTCTATAGTTCCTTCATTCTCTAAAATAAGCAACATCTTACGCTACGTCAAATCTTTTAAATCAAACTAAAGTTTGCAAATCTTCTTTCAGGTCTTTAGGAGTTTTTTTGTCTTTTCTAAGGATCTTTGTAAAGACTTTTAGTAAAGCAAATCAAGTGGATTTATAGCAAAATGTATGCACAGTGAAGTGGAAAAACAGAGATAGAAATTTGATAGGGATGTATTCTCTGGCAAAACTTACTAAAGATTATCAGATGATAGAGATACTACCTCAGTTTGGGCTCAAACTGGTCTCTGTACTACTGCAAAAACAGAAAAGAGAGGGGCAGCAACTTGCTCTACAAGTTCTGATAACTGAACCTGAATATGTATATCATACCTCATCAATAAAGTGTTTAAAACTTCCTTGCATTGTCTTCTAAAATGAACTTATTTTCTAAAATATACATTAGGTTCTTGTAATGTTTTGTGTTATTATTTTAATGTTTAATATTTTTAATATCTAATATAGTAGTTTTATTTAGTGTTTAGTTTATGGGTTTTGGATAGAAGACTTATTTTTACTACTTCTCTCTGAGTTCTACTTTCATACATCAGATCTTTTTTAGGTGATTTTTAGGTATTGGCTGCTTGCAAAATGTGAAAATTCTACTATAAAAGAGTAAATTTTATTATTTTTAATTACAGAATAATTTTATGGATTCATGTTTGAAATGTGTAATACTGAACATTAAACTAAGTAATTTCTCTGAAGTTTAATGATTATTTCTATTCATTTAGATTTCTCATATTGGAAAGCTGAAAGAATTTCTTCTGCAACACAGAAAGGATTACATTAATGCTTACAAGTAAGTGTGCATTTTGTTTAAACAGATTTCTTTATTTCTTTTCAGAGTTTATAAAGTGAACTGCTTAAAAATCTATAGGCATAATGACTAAAAACAAAACATAGATTGCTTATTAATTGGCTTACCATAAGCTACTTAAGATGAAGAATAGTGCTGTTACAAAAAGAAGATGGTCCTAAATTAAATTACTCTCGGAATTTGAAGCAAATTTTTGGCTATTAGAAGTGAGTTCTGAAACAGAACAACCTGGCAGTCAAAGTCAACACCTTTTACGGACCTGCAGAGTAGGCTTTTGAAGCGGTTCCTGAGACAGCAGACCAGACTAGATGCGGTGCTCCAGGTTATCCCTTTCATTCTGTGACATTAAACCTACCTGTTATCACTAAGTGTACAGTCTGTAGCATCAGCAGGTAAAGAAGGTGAATGATGCGAACTCTTCAGAGTCTGGAATGTGAATTCTAGATGAAGGACACTATTGAGAACATGGTGTCAGGGGCAACAGCACAGGATTTGCTTTTCTATGACAACAAAACTTCAGTTCTCGTAGTTATTGTGTGGAGAAAGTTTTGATTCTCTTCAGCCATTAGGAAACATTCTAAACTGCTGTGCCTACTTACTTGCTGATAGCTTTAGGAGTAGGATTTTAGAAGATTAAAAACCAAGTTTACAGGTTGGTGTTAGTAAGAGAAGAAAAAAAAAAGTATCTTGTGATTTGCAGATTTAACATTCTTAATTACTAAATCAAGTGATCCTAAGATTTAAATGTTAACTGCAACTGGTATTTTGGTGAACTGAGTACAAATACTCATATCATTTGAGAAATGGAAAACTTGCTTTTTAATGAAATTCTTATTCCCTGCAAACTTAGTAGTCATATTATAGGTTGCACAATATTTCATTCCAGAAAGACAGTACTTTGTAGGTATCACATTAACTAACTTTGCTTTTGTAAATAGAAGTTTAGCAGTTCCAGTTGAACTAATCACTGGTTTATTTCATATTGTAAAAATGGGTTTGTGACACATCTGCTATAAGTATTTATTTGAAGAAAGTACGTATCATCTCCATGTCTTCACAGTGCAGACCCCATAACATCTAATTATTCTTTTCCTTCCTTCTCAGTCTGTAGCTATGTCTAAGATAAAAAATGAACAGTGCAACATAACATAAAGTGAATGCTGTCTTTGAAGGAAATATACTTGGCTGTGGAAAAATGCCCACCAAATTTGTGATGCCTTTGTCACACTGTCATTTAAATCGGGATGGATGATCTGCTACCCTGGTAATGCGTACGGAGAGAGGTGTTCTCCAGGGTTCTGGGACTCCACTTTATTCTGGGATCCGTGGTTCAAAACCAAAGCTTGTAAAATTCCAAACAGATGTAGAATTGGAAGAATGTGAGTGCAATACAGAATTAATGCATGCCAGCTGGGATGCATTGAAAAACTGGGATGCACCCATTACAAAGAAGCCAATGAATTTCTACCAAGTGAAGTTTCCAGCTTGTAGGGTGCAACCACTTTAAAGAGTACATAAGCAAGCTGTTCTTGAGGCTGCAAAAGTGGTTGTGGCAGTGCCCTTCTTGGGCGCGGGGGGGAAGTATCACTTAAAACAACTAAATATCTTCTTTTTTTCACAGTCATCGGAGATGCACACAACTGAGTTGGTTGGGGTTTTTGGGGGGGGCCGATGGGTGGGGGGGCTGTCGAAATGAAACAGTGCAGGTAACCTTTCCTTTTTAAAGGATCTTCTGAAACTTCACAATTTCCTGTGTTGTATTTTTCCAGTCCCTCAGCATAACTGCGGTATTGCATGGGGTGAGTCAGCTCTGTCTGCATTCCAATTCTGCCACAACCCCAACTAAAGCTAAGCTGGTGCTGCAATCAAGGTAGAGAAAATGCAGTCTAAAGTCATCTTGAGTTGAAGATACTGAGTCCCAAGTAAATGTTATACCTTTCTTCAAAAGGCTTCGCAGGTGCCAAATAGGAGCATTATCCAGTGTTGTATTTTAACCCTTGCTGGCTGCAAAACACTACAACACTGCTCGCTCACCCTCCATTCTCCCATGGGGGGAGAATTAAAGGGATAAAGGGAAAAGAGACTCCTGGGTTGAGATAAGAACAATTTAATAACTAAGCTACAATAATATTGGAAATAATAATAATTGTGACAATAATAGTAATATATATGAATGAGTGATATACAATGGAACTGCTTACCACCCGATGACCGAGGCTCAGCCCGTTCCTGGCTGATGATTCCGCAGCAGGGAAGGTCCCAAAAACACAATCCCAGAACAGAGATAAGAGCCTGAGTGTCTGAGACTGAGATGACCAAGAGAGGGATAACCTCTGGTCCTCTCTGGGAGAAAACCAGCAAGAGAGAGCAAGAGAAAGAACTTCAGGTCAGATCCTCATCTATAAACTGGCCATGACGTGCATGATATGGAATATACCATTAGCCAGTTTGGGTCTCAGTCCCAAACCTAAGGTCGAATCCTAGGCTAGTAATTGGTGCTGTGCTCCCTCCCAGCTTTTCCTGCACCTGCAGACACTGGCACAGCAGAGAAGCTGAAAAGTCCTTGACTGTCCCAGCAAGAACTATAAACATCAGTATGTTATCAGCCTCCTCAGCACAAATCCAAAACACAGCCTCTTATTAGCTACTATGAAGAAAGTTAACTCTGGCCCTGCTGAAACCAGGACATCCAGACAGATATCCAGCCCCCAGGGGAAGACAGTAGGAACAGGTGAGCTGTCTGCTATTCCTTAGGCTCAGTCCATATTGGAGGAACAGTCTTTCTGAGAAACAACTTCTAGGCCTGAAAGGGTCTGTCACAGTAACAGCAACAGTATACAGTCAGTGGTATCAAAATGTGTCCCTAAGTAAGTCACCAGATTGTTTGTGTGTGTTGGGTTTTTTTGTCTCCTTGAGATTTTAAAGCAGTATTTTGTTATTTCAAAAAATGAAAAAAAAAATAATATTTTGGCATATTTTATAAGTGTAAGGCTATGGGAGCTATTTGTAGTCAGTGCTGCTGAAAATTAACCTCAAGGGTGTGGGTGTTGGTTCTGTGTGCAAGGTGTATCAAGAACTGTTTTCCCAAGCAGCAAGTGGATGTAGTGTACAGCTGTGTGTAATGGCTATCTCTTTGCTTTTCAACTCTTATTGGAATGAATAGTCATGAACAACACTAGGTGGAGCTACCAATTTAATACTGAAATAACTTTTTACTGTGTGAAAATGTGAATGCATAAGCTGAGAAACTGCAAATAATTGCAGTAAGAGCAAACAGTCAGTAGCAGTTACATTTTGGGTACTATTTGTATTTTATTAACAGTAGTGTGCATAAAACTGAAGTGATAAGAGGAATAAAAATCTGTCCAAGCTATTTTGGTTTCTGAGGCTTCCCTACAGACTTAAAAAAAATATGTAAATATGTTGTTGTGGAATCATAGAATGGTTTGGGTTGGAAGGAACCTTAAAGACCATCTACTTCCAACCCCCCTGCTATGGGCAGGGACACCCTCCACTAGACCAGGTTGCTCAAAGCCTCATCCAGCCTGGCCTTGAACACCTCCAGGGATCCACAACTTCTCTGGGCAACCTGTTCCAGTGTCTCGCCACCCTCACAGTAAAGAATTTCTTCCTAATATCCATTCTAAATCTGCCCTCTTCCAGTTTAAATCTATTACCCCTCGTCCTGTTGCTACATTCCCTTGTAAAAAGCCCCTCCCCGTCTCTCCTGTCGCCCCCTTCAGGTACTGGAGGGCTGCCATAAGGTCTCCCCAGAGCCTTCTCTTCTCCAGGTTTAACAACTCCAACTCTCTCAGCCTGTCCTCATATGGAATGTTCTGTCATTTGAATAGACAAGTTTTTTACTTCTTCATTCATATTTATGTTGGACAGCATTTGGGTAGAAAAAAGGCAGTAAATTAAAATGCACAAAACATACTAAATTTAAACATCATTTATTAAATACGAAATAAAATAATTTGAAACATACTAGATCCCCAAAGGGAATGTCTGCTGTATTTACAGCTCAGGTTATACATACATGTACCTGCATACTTACACATATGCCTACACACTTACATGTGTGTAGTGTGAGAGCATGTATGTATGTATATATTTGTAAAGCAATATGTGCAGGTGGGAAATTGGGCATATTTGTGCTAAAACAGTACATATTAGTATTTTAGAAGTGCTCTGTTTCAGCTTCTTGCTTCTCTCTCTCTTGTATTATGTTGTTGGAGGAAAATCAAGTTTTTCTCCTTTATTTGGTGTCTTTATTGAGTCAAAAAGCAGAAAATGTTTTATGCACCAGCAGAAAGAGTTACTAATTCCAAAAGCTGTTGTAACATCTCCATCAACTCTGCCAGCAAAATAGGATCATAGAAATGATAGGCTGGAAGGAGCATGGCTGACACATTAAAAAACGGAAAGACTAGATTATTCGACCACCATGTTTTGCTTGCTTTTAAACATTTATTTCAGTGGAGATTACATACCCTCCTTCTGCTTTTTTCTGTCTCCTTATCCATGCTACTAGAATTTTATTTGTTTACACTAACTTATTGTGGTTTGTCCTCACTCTCTTCTAGAATTGACAGTTACCGTATATTTGGGTGTTCTCTTTAACCTTTGATCGTACTTTTTCCCCTGCTTTGAATGCTGTCCCAATAGGTGTTGCAATGAGGTGCTGAAATAAAATAAAACTCCAGCTGAAGCCTTGCACAGAGCTAAGGAGAGCAGAAATATTACCTTTCGCAATGGATTATACGGCATTTATGCATCCCATTGTAACAATGACTTCTGTGCAACAACATTTGCATGTTTATGATCCAGTACTATCCCAGATGACTTTCTGAAGAACTGTTCCCTAATCAGCTGTTCCACATTCTCTGTGGGTTCAGATAATTGTTCCTGCTGCAACAGAGCCTCTGACCATTCCTTATGGAAATTCTTCATGTCATTTCTCCAAGTTGGCAGTAGTGTTTTGAATTGAAGTCTTGTTCTCTTGGTACAGTTTTAATTCGCTTAGCTTTATGCCTCTGCAAATGTAGTAAGTGTATATTCCATGCTACTGAGTTGTTATTGAAAGTATTAAGTAGGGTCAGATTCAGGACAGAGCCCTGTGGAACACAACTCAGTGTATACTTCTGTGTTGCTATATAACAACTCCAAGTTCAGCTTTTCAAGCAGTTTCACATCCTTACGGTGCTTGTTTTTTCTATCTCATTTATTTGTTGGTAGCTTATGGGAATGTCATGTGAGATGGTAACAAAAGCCACACTAAAGAGAAGATAAATAGCAACAATTGCTTTTCACCCATCCATAAGACCTGTCACTGCATCCCAGAAGTAAATTACACTGCGTATGACATACTCTTGATACATCTTAGCTACTGGTCGTCTTTTGGTCTTTCCTAAGTGCTTAAAAATGGTTTGATTATTTGTTCCTACATTTTCCTAGACTGAGTGGTCTATAAGTCCTTTGCTTTTTTTTTTTTCCTTAACCCTGTTTTTTAAAGATAGTTGCTACACTTAATCTTTTCATTGACCTAGCACTCACTTATTCTCCCCTAGTTCTTGGCAGTGAGGATACATCCTTTCGGTTGATGCATTTCCGATTTTAGGTGTTTCTCCTAGTAATATCTACACAGTAATCTCCTGTTATCATTGGCATCCCTTCCCAGTTATGTCTCATCCTGCACTTGACCCTTTTCTGATTGTGTCCCTACATGCTGCATTCTTTTAGACTTGTCAGTAGCAAACAGACCTAATTTGCACTTTGTGTTATGCTTTTTGTGTTTGAGCTCAATGAAGAGCTCATGAAGTAGCTAAGTTCATCTCTTATTGCATTGCCTATTCTTACCTTTCATCAAGGGCAGAATCACAAATGATCATAATGTTATTTCTATACAAAAACTACTAGTTCACCTCAGTTCTTTCTGTTCATTTTTAGGTTTCCCTTTCCTGTGCAATTTAACCTACTAATTTTTCTAGACTGCTCGAAGTCTGACTACTTGATGGACACTGTTTTTATCTTACTCATCACCCACTTTCTTAAAAATCACAACTGAAGTTGCCTTCCAGCCCAAGTTTCTCCTGAAGCTGTCACCTATTGTAGGATGAAAATCTAGAAGAATTTCTTTTCCCCCTTTCTCCCTTCTTTATCGGCATGCATTAGCCAGTGTGTGTCTTCTTCTGATTGCTTGTAGTAATATAACTATATAATTACTTATTGTATGTTATAAAAAATACTTTTGTAAATTTAGAATAGTTCTATCGAGAGGGGAATAAAGTCCTGATATTTAGATGTCAAATACATGACAGTGTTGGAAACAAAAAAGTGAAATATAGAATACATCTAATTAATTTGCCTTAATGTTTGCAAGAGTATGTAAGATATCTCTAAGGGTATCAGACTGTCTTACAAATTGAAAATATCTTATTTTTTACTTGTATTACCGCATTAATATGGTGGCATTATACATACCTTGAACAAGCAGGGAAATTTTCACATATAAATAACAATCTGAATTAAAATGAGGGAATGAGCTAAGATTTTTTGGGGTTTTTTTCCCTGTTTTTAAAGGCAAATTTGATGGCTATGATGACTGTATCATCAGGATGCTCAAGGTGAACATAAGATAAGCTGCTGTAGCAAAGTTTTATCATCCTGTCATCTGTGATTGTGGTAACACTATTACACACTGTTATACATACGCTTTTCTGGTGGTTATCTACTGTGTGTTAATATTTTACTGACAGGCCTCCATTTTTATTAGATTAGTAACAAAAAGATATATTAATCCTATTAGAAAACATTAAATATATAATGTATCATCTAAGATAGAAATAAACAATGGGAACAGGTTTTAATAAATCTTATAATCCACTTAACATTTAAAATGTGCATTATTTTCCAACATTCTTCTTTACGTTTGAATTCATAGATTTCATAGTACAGCTACTTTAAAAATGAAGCTCAGTATTTAAGATAATGTAAACGTACATTTAAGTAAAATAAGCTCTTTTTTTTTGTACTTTCAACGTTTGAGCTGTTCCCTTATCCTACTTGTTCTTGTGTTTTTAGAATTGATATACCTCTTTGGAATAAGTACTGGGGTAATGATGTATGTTCTAGTTGTATTTTCTCCTTATCTGCTCAGCAGTTGATTAGGTAGATGATACTAGTCAAAAAATGTTTTAAAAAACCCCTCATGTTTAGAGAAGTGCCATTTTTATCAGTGATGCTTATTGTACTTTTTACTTCTTTTGCTGTGAAAATTGGTGTTGCAGGAAAGCTTCTGTGGAGATGGTGAGTGGGAAGAAGGTCTAAAATGTGTACTTGTAGATCTTAAGTGACAGTTTGTTTTGTTTTACAGCCATATTATGTCTGAGTATGTGAGGATGACAGATACAGAGCGTGATCAGATAGATCAAGATGCTCAGATATTTATGAGGACGTGTGCTGATGCCATTCATCAACTGAGAACAGAAGGTAAACTGAGCAACTCTTAAATTTTTTTCCTAGTTATTAATAAAGGCTAATATAATGCTGAATGTTGGATGGTGAATCTGAAATGCTTTTGGGAAGAGAGTGATGAAGTCTCATTGCCTTTTGGTTTGCATCTGTGTAATGCCATTGACTGATTAGTACTGTACTTAATTTTCTTTAATGTTAGTGGAAGGAGAAGCCAGAGCATAGAATTTTATTTATTTGTTCAAATAGACCTATTAGCAAGTGTAAAAAAAAAAAAGATAGTTTTAAATATTTATTCCTTAAATAGTAATGTAGTACTGTGGCACAAAGGCTTGAACCAAAGCACACTAAATTCAATTTCTAGCTTGTCCGCGTGTAAGGCATTACGAGTATAATCTTTCCAAATTTGAGATAATCAAGTAACTTTTAACAGATTCCTGGTAAACTAACAGTGTTTTTGACAACTTGAGTATGGGATCATATCTTTACAACACTATCTTATGGAAGTTGTAGAGAAAACTTCTGGTTTGCCATTTTCAAGTTGACTTGTTGTATGTGTGTGCTTTATCAATATACCAAAGATTTTCATCAGCTTTGAAATGCCATCTAAACAGAGTTGTAGCATTTTTCAGAATCATGGGAAGTCAGTCATGCATGGGAATGACATAGTTTCAAAATAAGAAATATTACTGTATGTGAATTAAAAGGATGATTGACACAATAAAGATTTCCACATGGCCTATACAACGGAGAATTTAAAATGTTGGAAGTTCAAAATTTTAAGGAAGTTAAATATCTAGATCTGTTTTCCTATGCTTAGCTTGGTGATGTTTATTCTGTTTTAGAAATTTAATTGGCATAATATAATTCAGTAGCATATATAACAAATCAATAACATAAATATTTTAAGACACTAGTTGTTTTTAGCTTCTGCTTTGTTGTAATGATCTGCTGTATTACAGAGCCTATATTTAAGTATAGCTATGTTTAAAATACTAATATATAACATATATTAAATATTAATAGGATCAACTGAAAATGCAAACTTTTGTGTAATTCACTAAAAAGTTAAAAGATTGTGTTATATCTTTCTTTTGTATTTCAGCACACAAGGGTGTCCAGTCTGCTCAGGTAAAGGAGCACAGAACAGCTGTCTTGGACTTCATTGAAGATTACTTAAAAAGTACTTAGTATTTATTGAATGGTTAAAAATGAATTATTGTATTCTCCAATAAAGAAATCATGCTCTTCTAACCTGAAGTTTTGTTTACTGCTATCTTGAACAGGAGTGTGTAAGCTGTATTCTGAACAAAGAGCCATCCGAGTTAAGCGAGTGATAGACAAGAAGAGACTGTGAGTAGTGTCAAAAAATAGTTTATGCCTTTCGTTTGTAGGACATAAAACTATTACTCATGTTTAGATTCAAAGGAGATTGTTTTAATGGAAATCTGTAGTTGAATGAGCAACTTCTGCTGTCAGCAGGTGCATTCCAGGGCTCTTTTACAGTTCTGGCATGTGAAGTTAAATCTGTAAATGGCAGAGTGCCAATATAGTGATGTAGTTTCATTTATGTAAATTGTTAACCAAATCAGTGAAATGTGGGTTAATAAACCTCTTGGACTTATGCAACAAAATATTTTTGTGTGTCCTGTTAAGTAATACTGTGAATAAAATAATTTATAATTAAATCCTGCACATTGGCAGTATGTCTTATAGAATCATAGAATGGTTTGAGTTGGAAGGGACCTTAAAGATCATCTAGTTCCAACCCCCCTGCAGGACACCTTCCACTAGACCAGGTTGCTCAAAGCCTCATCCTTTAATGCCTCCAGCAACGGGTCATCCATAACTTCCCTGGGCAACCTGTTCCAGTGCCTCACCACCCTCACAGTAAAATATTTCTTCCTAATATCTAGTCTAAATCTACTCTCTTTCAGCTTAAAGCCATTGCCCCTCATCCTATCACTATACTCCCTGATAAAGAGTGCTGCCCCCCCCAGCTTACTTGTAGGTCCAAGTAAAACAAGTGTTGTAAAGATCCTATTTAGGATACTGTCTGTTTAGGTACTAGAGATGTTAACTTCTCTGTCCTGTCCTTTCTTTTTGCCTTTTTTTTTTTTTTTCAAAGACATTATTTTTCTTCTAAAACAAGTGATTATGTTGTCAATAAATGCTAATTGAGATGGTGGGTCTGTGTGGCAAGTAGAAACATGATTAAAATAAAAATTTTGTATGTAACTTTTTAATTGAAACAGAAGAGTTTCTGTTTCCTATCGTGGCATACGTTCAGGCTGCTAACATATAGGTGAAAAGTCAAAGATACTTGCTGGCTTTTTGGTCTATGTTGTTTTTTCAGTCAAGTATCAAAAAACATAACTCTCTCAGTTTCTTTTTCAGCACACTCCCAGGTCTAAGAATGACAGGGAGAATGAACAGGCTTGCCATTTTTTTAATACCTGAAAGGCTTTCCATGTCATCTTAATCTGTGTTATTTGAATTCTAAACTGAAGTTCCATTAGGTACATTTTAATTTAAAAATAACAAATTCTAGAACATACACATCAATAAATAAATTCTTGAGTGTTTTTCTGAGACTTGATGTTGCTTTATCAGTTCAATGTTTGGCTCAGTCAACTATTTACATTGAAACTAGAGATGTTTTCAAAAGCCCTTACGTACATTTTATTCAGAGTGATTCAGCATGATTAAGCACAATTGGATTCACTCAAATATATTCTTCTGAGACATAAATAGGAGTACAAGCCAAAACCAAGTAAACAAAATACCCCAAACCAGTTATGAAATTTGGTAAGAAGTACTGAAAGGAAAGTAAGGCATTGGTATTTTTGTAACTCCCATAACTTCTCTGAAAAAAAATACAGAAACACTGTGTGATATTTTTAGTGTGTAAAAGTACATAGCCTCATGAGTATTCTTCACAATAAAGAACTTCAAAGAAAGATAGCATGCTTCCTGCAGTTATAGAATTGACTGACAAATAGCAGCTCTTCTGTGTGTTGCACTCTTATATTGTTGTTTTTATGTGAAATCCCAGGTTTGAGATTTCTCAGATGATTAAACAGAGGAAACAACTCAATTTGATGCATGTTAAACATGGAGCAATGAAAGAGCTGTTTCAGAAGTCAGGTTGCCACTTAATTGAAGAGCAATAAGACATTAAAAAATAACCTAGAAGATGCAGTCCTTTTTGCCTCTTTTTATGGATGTAGGAACTAGAAAACAGATGTTTACCAGGTGGAGGCTGTACGCATTGCAGATTTGATGTAATAGCTAAATTGTTTTTTAAATTAAAATTCTATTTAAATACATCACAGAGCATAAACCAATCTTTATGATGACTTGAAGAAAAACTGTATTTTTTTCACATTCCTTGAACTAGTTGATTGATGATTTCCCCTGGGATTTCAGCAGACGCTTTGTGGTAATAAGAACATATTCCATCACTTGAAAGAACTAGGCGTTCTTTAAGTAGTGCATTTGAGGCATTTTCTTAATTTTTAATTGAAAACTTCAATACAGTAGTACTTCAGTACATTGGCATACTGTGCAAAATAAGGACAGCATAGAATAAAGGAGTACATTTCTTTAAAAGTAAACTAATCCTAGTGCAGTACTTTTTTTTTTCTTGCAATTTAGTCAACTTAAAATGGGTGTATCATACAATACTGAAAGGTTTACCGTAGAAATATATTTCATTCTGTTTCCTTTTATATTGATAAACTTCCTAAGCTCTTCAACAAATTGCTTGAGTGTTATAATTTTCTAACATAAGTTGCCTTTATGTATTAACTTATATTTTCTGATTTAAAAGTTCTGCCAATTACGTAGGACTAGTTCCCCAGAATGAAAAGTAAAGAAATACAAGCAGCTTTTTCTGTAAAGGTACTTGGTTGTGATTTTCAGTTTTTATGTTTATTGGTATTCAAAATCGTATTTCACTTCAATTTTAAACTTCTTTTTCCATTAGAATATCTTGTGACTGATGTATGCAATTATTAAAATCAAGATGATTTTTTTTTAAAATTATCTGGGGAATTGGTGTTTTATTAGTATTGGAACTATTATTTGAACTGCATGGACATCCAGATAAGTATTTTTTCCTCATTATTAGGCAAATTTGGGACTTCAGAGGGAGGAGATGAGAGAAGAGTTATTTTTTTGTAAAATTCCCAAAAGCCCAGTACTTGCAAAGTTTTTGGAACTAAGAAAGGTTTAAATAACATAGTCACTCAGTGATGAGTAATGCATTAATATTCTGTTTTTCTCAGAATTTTCTAATTAAGGGTTAGAATTTAGACACAATACAAAGAAGGAATGGAACACAAAATGCAACACCTTCTGTTAAGCAGCAGGGGTAGATTGCATCATAATGAGATTAACTGTTGATTATATTTGAGAGGGGAGGAAGTGATGAAGGTGGCACAGCAGATGATTCAGCCCATTGCTTTTTGGCTTTTTGTTCTTTAGCTTCTCTAACAGCATAATTGCTAAGCATTTAACTGTCTACTACACAGCAGTTACAGAATTCATTGTGGACAACAATAAACCACTGAAGTCTACTGCAAAAATATGCTGCCACTAATTTTAAACATTTTTGGTGCCTCAGTGAAATGTACTTGACAAGTACTTAATATATAATCACTGAATATGCCTCTAATTTTTTGCATTGCCTTTGTATTAAAATTACATGGCAGGGACTTAGATGCAGTATATATCTGTCCACTACGTACAGGTTTTTTTTTCCTTCCTTCTGAATGGTCTATTGTGTCTTTTGGCAGACAAGGTAAGGATTGCTTTCATACTGGTTAAACTATTCTTTAAAGCTAGTTAAATAAAAAAACTTGCTTCAGGAAAAAAAATAATTCCATTTTCTTTCTTTTCCTTTATGATAATTGACAATGTAAAGTAAGATTGTAATTATTACTTGAAAGAAAATAAGGTAGTGGTGTTGGCTGTTGCTACTGAAAATAATTTTCAGTATGTCCAAAATGTTGATTGGTTAGTTTTTTATAAATATATATATTTTAACACACTGCATTTTTGTAAGTAAGTTTAATAAAATGTCTGTTTTTATGCTATAGCCTTCAAAATTCTCCTCACCTCCAAACATGTGATGTGTTTTGTTCAGGAATACTACCTGTGCTTTGTTTGCTTTTGTAATAATATTTCAGTGAAAGTTGCTGTGTACTTTTTGTATTTCGACTGGGAAATCTTTCATGTGAAGCTTGCAAGAGTTATAGTGTCAAATTTAATAATTTGTGGTGGTTCTCATTTTAGAGAAATTCAGCTGTGTAATATTAGCAGGCTCTTGTGCTTCCAGGTCCAGACTTGAGCCTGAGCAGAGCAATGTGTCCAAATCACCTCTTTTCCCTGAAAAATCTTCACAGAATCCTTCAGATGATTCTGAAGAAAAACTTTCTGCTGAGGAAAGCAAAGGTAAGAATAAAATGTAGTTATATTTCACTTCTTGTGACAAAGCCTGTCTGTTCAATAGCACTTTCTTCACATTACAAGGGCCTGTTCCTGTGACTTGCACCTTTTCTTATTCTCATCTTCCCTGAGTTTTTCAGGCTTTTGTGAAGCACATTGTGAGACTGAGGAAGCAAAATCTTAAACTTTTTGACATACGTTTTCCAACCAGCTGAAAAAGCCTTACGCTTTGCTGGATTCCTCATCCTCTCAATAAACACTGTGTGAACTCTTTCCTTTTTATTTATTTTTATCAATATCCATCTACTTACATATCTTCTGAGATTAACTTTTTCTGCATTCCTTTCACCAATGCCAAGGAATTGGAAAGAAGCTCAGTGACTTTCTGGCAACATTTTCTAGTTTTTAAGCACAGAGACCTTGAGTTGGACACCTCTACCGTAGGAACTCAAAGGCAGAATATGCTCATAGAGGAGAGGTTACTGGCTGGCCAGATCCAGTAGTTCTGGGGATGTTGTTCTCCACAGCATTGAGTTTTCCTGCTAGAAGGGTGGCATCTCGTCTTTCAGTGGGCAGTAGACAGCCAGAATGCCAAAGCAGTATCTCTGACCCCAGGGTCATTTCACCTGGTGCTATTTGTGACAGGACTTGTGAACATTGCTTCTGATTCCTTGGTGGCCTGCTTCTGAGGCCAGGGGAGGCAAGTCCCTTCTCTTAGCTGTTTTGGTCTGTCCTGGGATGTGTACACTGGCAGAACTTCATTGCAGAGTGCCTTCCAGAGTACCACCACTATGGAGATGATTTCAAGTTTCATACCTAAAGAGAAATCTTTCTGTGATTCTAGAGTTGCTTTCCCTGGCTTGATTTCTCCTGCTTGTGCAGGAGAGTCCAAGGTACCCTGTGATTTACAGCGTGAAAACTAGAGAAACAGCAACTGTATTAAATGTGATATGTTATGATAATACTTCATCAAGATACGAGAAATGCAGTAGATGGCCATATTATTCTGATAATCAGTTACTGTTTCTTTGGTGATTTTTATTAAAAGCGTGAATTTCTGGTTGGTGACTTCAGGGCCGTACAGAGTGGATTCATGTGAAGTGGGTACTCCACTTCTGGATGAAGACTCTAATACTGAATTGCCTCACAGTGTGCGAGTGGTTTCATTTTCTGATACGGCATGGCTTATCTTCCTAACCAGTTTGTACTTCTGCAGCCCTATCAGTATGCTGCTTTTTTCCTCTGATAACTGAATTTATTGTAAGAAGTAAAGGTTTTGATTATGTGTCATTTCTAGTGCTTACTATGTTCTTATAGCATGTCTTAAGCGATGCAGCACACAAGCACGTAGATGAGTTTCACCATAACACGTTATCAGTGTTTCACAGCTGTGAGCTAGTGCCAACAGAGAAGCGGCAGTGTAGTAGCATCTTTGCTGTCGTGTGCTCTTTCCTTCTTACTGAACGTCTCTGCAGTCCCTGAAAGTGTGCACTCCCACTGCGTAGCGTCATTACAGTTTTTAGCTCCAAAAATCTGTGCCACACCATGGAAAATGCTGTTCTTTGGTTGCCTTCGATGCAGCAAACTTCTGCAATAAACAGAAATGAGGCTTTGTTTCTTGCACATTAATTTTGATTATTGCAGTTTTCACTTTTATTAGTTTATGCTTTAATTTTTTATAAGAAAGTAGGGTACCTGTTATACGTGATGCTGATGCAGTACTTACGAGGGATTGCTGGCTAGTCTTTGAGACAACTATGAAACTTGTATATCAACATAAATCTGTCTGAAACAGTTTGGAAATGCTCACAGCCTGTGATTCCTCACATAAGTGTAAGTGTTGATGGCAGCTGCTTATAGAAATCAGCCTTGTGACTTCGCTGGTAGGTGGTTGTTGAAGCATGGGAATAGCATGAACAAGACGACTAGGAAACAAGCAGCTCAGTTTAAATCTTGTAGCCTTTAATACTTTTTTTTTTTTACAAGTAACTTTTTTCAAATTTATAAGAAATTGGAGAAGTTATTGTGTTGAGAAATAAACTATTTCATCCTCAGGATGTTAGTGGTTGAGAGAATGGTGATAATTTGTATTTATTAACTAACCATCATCAGTGTGCCTGGGTTCCTTGCATAAATATCTCAGCTGTAAAGGTACTTCTTCTGAGAGCAGCTTGCTGTGATGAACAGCTGAATGTCCTACTTGGCATGCTGAAGCACAATTTGGGTTTTGTCAGTTTTTTTGGCAGAAACCAAAGCAAAATGTGATTACTTTTGTTTTGAGGCAAAGCACCTGTTTACATTAGAATTACACTGGACATGCCTCATGGTAGGAAGACAGTTGCTCTGGTGATTGCTTTTATATGCTGACAGTATTTATTTGCGTATTACAAATTTGACATTTAGTTTATGAAAATAAATATAAATAATGAGTAGCTTTTGAACTGGTCAACGAGCTTAGCAGCTGTCTCCTTTCAGCATGGAAAAGGGTTCAGAGGATTTGATCATTACTTTGTATCTCTGTCGTGCATTAACTGCTTCTCTTTCTGCAAAAGAAATGTCCTTCGGCTTTTGCTGGATGAGTTGCAGAAAAGTACTAATGGCAGCTCCATGAAAGCTGCAGAACAGCTTTCCCAGTAGCCAGAAATGTACTGCAGTGACAGGAGGAACCCTGAGGAGATCCGCGTTTCTCACTTACCTCTTGCCATATTTGCTCATTAGCAATCATGTGGGATACAGGTGGTGTTTTTTTAACAGTGCTGACAGTGCCTGAAAGTAATTGGTTCCTCTGGGCTAAAATAGGAATAGATCTTATTTCTTGGCTTCATAAACTAATTATCTTCTCTTCTTTGAATCCAGTAAATAATTAATTATAATTTTGATATAATGTAAATACATTGATTACCTAAACAAATATGTTTTGTGTTTCTGTGAAATAGACTTGAAATACTGATGATACCCCATGGACAACATAGAGTTGAATCCTTTCTAAACAATCTTTAAAATATTCTTGGCTTTATTTCTTACTACTTCTAAGAAATAACAGATCTATTTTCTTTTTTTGTTTGTTTGTTTTTTAAATTTACTGTATTCCTTATCCACATCCCTTATTTCTAACATTCTCCTTGTTTCTACATCCTGGTTTGGTTGTTGGGAAGCAAAATATACATTTATAAAGGAGATATACACAACAATACTCTTTTATAATGCTTATTTTCCAAGAGGTTTCACAAATATTATAATGAAGGACAAAGGGGAAAATTTCTGGTTATAATCCTTTTCATATATTTGTTTATAAACAGGACTATTCCTTTCAGAGGCTTTCCAAGAAAAGTCAGTATATGAATGATGATGCATCAGTGTGGCTTATGCAATTGGAAAAAAAAAAAATAGGTTTAGAAGGTTATAACAAAGCAAATGAAAATACTTATAAATGCCTGGAAAAATTGACTGGGATAAATAGGAAGTCTGAAATCTATGAAAAAGTAAAAACTCATTCTTTTTGTATTTTAATTTGTAACCTGCATCTGGTAAGTCAAAGCAGGTTCAGCTTTGATCCATTGTGGAGTGGTGCACATCTCTCTTCAGGGTTTTGTAAAAGTGGCGCAGCCAGTGGGGAGAAGCAAGGCCTTCTCAAGACTGCAGTCTTATCGTCAGGATTTTAAACACTGATGGTAGAACAGCTCCAGAAACAGTAGGTTCGTGTAGCATAGTTTCTTTTCTTTCTCGTTCTAACTTCTTCATCTATAATCAGAGGTATATAATTAAGCCTAAAAATAAATCTCCCATAAGGGAATATCCCAGAAATAGCCGTTCAAGATCTTTTATGCCCAACTCCTGCTAAGCTTTATGCAGCTGATTAGCGTTAATCAAAGGGGAAGTGCTACTGAAATCAATGAAGCAGCTATGATGTGTAAGGGTTAGCTTGTGGGGTCAGATCTGACTCCTGTTATACACGGGAAGGCCCCTTGCACAGCATGCTGTAGGGTTTGCACTGCAATATACAGTTTGAAGAACGTGAGGAAATCAAGTTTGTCCTGTGAACTTTGCTCAAAGTGTCTTTGAGATTTGGTTTTAACTTTCTGCAATGAGGAGCTGCTGATTCTGTCAAGTTTCATTGGAAGCTAATGGTTTGCATACAGACTGTAATTTTGAAAATTGTGTGTTTTCTTCTGTTAAAAACAAATGCTACAGTATTTTGTGCCCTAACAAGTCTTAGTGCATTGTGAGTTGTTTTACATCCTTCACTGTCAATATATTAGTGCAGCTCCTTGTAGTTGACAGAATTAAACATATGTCTAGACTGTTGTCCCAGTTTAGAAGTTAAAGGTTATAGGTGTAATTTTGTGCCATTATTAAAGGGTAAATCCCAGTTAATGACAAATGAGATATAACAATTTCATTGGGATTCTGAAAGGGATGAAAAATGATTTTCACTTTACTGTTCAGTGTCCTGCATTGTCTCAAGTGTTTGGTGGTGCTTTTACAGACAGGAATCTGCCTGATGCCCAAAGCAACCTTGGATTATGGGGGGACAGCAAAGGTGAAGATGAGCTGTCACCTGAAGAAATACAAATGGTAAGTATATCTTGTGTCTTATTGTCCATTTTATTGTATTATCTGCTGTATTCATCTGGTTAAAAAGTACAGATTCACCCAAATTGAATTTCAACATTCATTTTATGCAGAATAATGCCATAACAAGATATACCTTTTGCCCATGGCTTCCTGGTTCTTCTGGTAGCAGCTAATATTTAGAACTGCTCTGTTTTTTATAAAGAAAGCAAACCTGATTTATAACTAGCCAGCAGATGTGCAGTTTTCAAAATGGTGAGCTTTACTAAGGCAAAGGCTGCTGCAGTATGAATATGCGAAGCTTCCTTGGCAGTGATTAGAGATGTTCCCAGAGACAATATGCATCACTCTTCCCGTCAGAGATGAGTACGTTGCATGTAATTATGGTATGGCTCATCAAAGAGGAAAGGTTGTTCAGAGGCTGCTCTTCATGCTCTCATATTGTTCTTGAGTGCCTGCCTGAAATGTAAGGGCTTACTCCTGCTTTCTGTTTTCTTGTTAAAGAGAATTCTTTACATATTTCCATTCTTCTGTGTTTAGGCACGATATCATTAGCCCCTTCGCTGTAAGCTTCAGGGCATCAGGAGGAAACAAGCATCAGAGGTGATGGCCCTGACAGGGCTTACTAATAACGGACTTAGTATGAATTCTTGGATTTCTTTTCGTATGCATTGCCCTGGAATTAAGTTTTAAACATGTTACATCCCTTGCCATGGTATTTTAGGAATAAATACATTTTTTTTTCATTAAATCCTTCTATCCTTTTTAGAGTAAGGCCCCAGATATCTCACCACTTAGATGAGTTGCTGAAGTCAGTGAATTTTGTTCTATTTCTGTTACCAAGACTGAAGAAAGATAAACATCTTTAAATGCTGCTTTTTGACCACCAAGGATTTGAAATTTTCCCTGGAATAAGTGCTCTTTATTGACTTGAGGGGGAGTGGTTCCAGGCCTAAGGAAGAGAAAATCTGTGTTCACAGTTTAATGCTTTGAAGGATTTCTAGACTCTAAATCCTAAACTGCTTCTTATTGGGCATTTGGACAACTCTTCCTAGGGGAGAACCAGCAGATAGATTTAAAAAAAACCCCATTCTTTACCCATTTAGAGCTCTCCTGTGTTATGCTTTGTAAATTATTAATATATTTTCTAAACTTTTACTGGTTGTTTTCACTGTTCTGTTTCTGTTGTGCTTTCAGGAGTTGCACTTCTTGTGTAAAGGGTTATAAAAATACCACTGATGCTCCAAATTAAATGAACTTTTAGCTCAGACAGACTGTAACATGTCCTTATTCTTAGCTTATACAGTTCTGCCTATAGTTTGCAAGGAAGTGTATAGTATACGTCAGTGCCATGATTAAGCCAAGAGAAATGACTTGTGCTGGAAACTTTAGATCTCAGCTTTAAGTTTCTTAGTCTACTCTGTGGGAAAAGAGACAAATTTACTACTCTGTTTGGAGAAGCAGAAGATCAAAATGATGCCAAAATAAAAATAACATACTTTGAAGTTCTATATACATTAATACACTGAAATATTATTACTGCTCTTGTACCATGGTTTATTCTTAAATTTCCATGTGTGAATTTACATTTAAAATTTATTTTTCTTATCTACTCTCAGTACTTGTGTTTTAGTGCTGATACTAGGAAACTAGAATTGAACAAAGCATACAGAGGGAAGTTACCACTAGAACAGCCTCCTCTCTGCTTATAAATTATTCTAAGATTTGCAGAAAGCTGTTTCTGAGCTGGATATCTGAATCTCCTGCTAAATCTTGCTGGGGTTCTGATCTCACCCAGCTCGTTCTCTCCTGCTGCACCTCCCTGCAGGCTGACAGGATGACCGCCAGTAGTCAGGGCTGTCTGCATCTCAGCTTCTTCTCGTGCTGACTATGAGTCTATGCTTCTGGCAATGCTGTGAAGAATTACAGGCTTGCTTTCTGCCTCTCCTAACAATTAACAAGAATCAGTTACTTCCACATTATGCCTTGGAAGGAGTCCACATTTATTATGATTTAAAAGTGAGTCAGCACTCATGGCAGTGTTAACGCAGACATAGCCACATTGGCCTTTATTAGTAAGAGCTGGATACTGTATAATTTCACTCCTAACAGACTTTAAATTCACTGGATCCATCATGCTAATTTGCAGGTAAATTTGGGTCCAAGGTGTAAATATGGGTGTAATTAGGAAATAATTTGAGTATTTGAATGTGTATTGCTTTTTTTCATTGCTCACATAAATCCCTCATACTGACTTGGCAATATTTGATGACCTCATTGTGCTTTTCACACAGGAACCAAAGGGTCTTTACAAACATGTAACAACAACTCACAGCCTTAATTTATTAACTCAAATGACAGTTAATTATTTCTCTGCATTATTTTTGCTGTTACAAAGAAGTTAATTTCTACTTTTTGAACATTTGATTTGTGAAGCATGGACGAACTGCATTTAAGTTACTCAGAAAATCCAGCAGCTCTCAGAAGAGGGTAGGTTACAGTGTAGAAACTGCTGTGTTGGTTTTAAATTGGAATGCGTTGTGTCAGATCACACTTAACAATTCTCAATCATGGTTCTGTGATCCTTCCTATGGGTAAAATAACACATTAAAGCCCTATCATATTGCTATAACAGCAGTTTCTATCAGTATTTTACCCACAGGAGAGAGCTGTACATTGTTCAAAGTGGTTGCAGGCTATTGTATGATTTGTACAATAAATTTCAGTTTATAACCCTGAGTACAGATGTATTATTGGTTTTTATAGTTAATGTGAGCAGGTGTCTTGTAGTTGCACTGAATGGAAAAAATCTGGCCCTGCTGTTTGAGTTGTGAAAATATCTACTTTGCCCAGACTTTATCTTTGTTTGTTTTTGTCTCAAATTCAGGTACAGTACATATAATGAATTATCTCATGGGATAACAAAAAAAGAACTGTGATATCTTCCATGCATTAGATTTTTAGATTTATCTGAAGCAGTTTGTCACTTTATGCCATACTTTGGTAACAGAATATTTCGCTGTCATAAAAGAGGCTACTTTAATAAGCCATAAATCTTTGAGCTATACTGATCACTAGAGTTTGTTTTATGTTTCCATCATGTAAATCCTTTTCTGACACAGTGGTATATGTGTTCTGTGCTCTAACCTTTTGTTCAATTGACTGTTTTAGCATATCTTACCGCTGTCTGTGCCAAGCAGTCCATCAGCCATGATTTCAAATTGCAAAGATCATTTAGCAGTTTAAAAGGCAATCTGTGCCAGTGGAGAGTTTTAAATATCAAGGGACTTTTTAAAGAATACTTTCTCAAGTGGATTTGTGCTATTTGTAAGGGATTAAAATCATTCACTGTTGCTTTATTGAAAATTTGCCTTCTAAATTAGCTATCATCTCAGTTTTACTAAGCCAGCAAAATAGGGGATTTTTTATGAATATTTGTGCAGAAATACTTTCACTTACAGAAGTCAGAAAAACAATTACAGCTTGCTGGCCCCATTTAGTCACTTAAGGACCGATCAGTTGACTCGGTGCTAAATTTAGCATCTCTTTTGTTGCTCTGTTTCTTGGCTTTGTTCTGAGGTGACTCTACTAAAACCAGAGACATATAGTGGTGTGAAAATAAAGGAGTGCAGTGATGGAACACTAACCATCTCCTGCTGTGAAGTAAATATCACTGTATTAGTCAATTATACTTTAACAAATGTTTTGCTGTGTAGGAGACACTACAGACTGCAGTGACAATGACATTTGAATGTATTGCAACACTGATACTTTTTTTTATTTAACAAAACCGTTGGATCTTTAGGGTGGAAATCAGTAGGACTTCAGGGAGCTGTGCAGTATGTTCCTCCCTGTTCCCCCCTGGAGCCATGGGGCTGGGCTTCTTCCCTGAGGCCACTACCCCACAGTGAAGGCGACAGTGACTGACAGCCCTCCTCCTCATCTGTGATCTTGGACTCTCTGGAGTCCTTTAACCAAGGAGAGTGAGCTGTTCTTGACAATCAGGTAGATTGTGAACTACTAGAACAAAAAGCAATCTGTATTAAAAAAAAAAAAAATCATTTTTCATTATTCTTCGTGACATAAATTGTCTGTGTTCAGACTAAACCTTTTTCTATGAGAGTCACTGTTACCCTTCTTTAAACCTGTCTATGATTTCACACTCGCTTCTGCCAAAGTGAACCTACAACTTTCTGGTTTTTAACACAGTAACCATTTCCCAAGTCATGCAGGTTGACATGTGTTTTGCTGTTGGCAGTCAGGTACTGTTCCTCTGAGGTCCTGATGGGCCTAAAGCAAGATGAAAAATGTTACAGCACAAAGTGTGGGGGACAGTGGTGACAGTGTGGGGTGTGAGAAAGAGGGAATGAAGGTGAAGGCTATGAAAGCTGGCTTGCCTTGTTTTCTTGCTTTTCTGTGTTGGTCTGTGGCATTCCATAAGTCTCGCTGAGCTCCTGTTACCTGCTCTCCCTGAAGCCAGCCCCATCACCCGGTCCTGCGGTGGGATTCAGGTTACTAATCTAAATGCTTGCTTAGGACTGTGTATGTGGGGAGAGGGAGGAGCAGGACAAATTCCCCATCAGCTGCACTAGATCTTTTTCACTTCACCCCGAGTAGTATACATACTTTTATTTCTTCTCTGTGTTAGTATTATGAAAGTACTTGATATGGCAGAAGTTTCAACTGGAACATTCTGGATCATTTAAAGGGATGCATATATCAGCATCTGAAGCAATGCACCTGCACAAGCTGTACAAGGAAGATCTTAAAAGACCTGGGATAGAGATACAGGTGGCATGATTGGGGATAGGGTGGGGGTCACAGCGGTAAGCCAAAGATCATCACCAAATGTAGCAGTGTAGTAACAGTAAATGTACGTACTCCTACAGACCGGCTCTGTCAAAGCAGCTATGGGTCAGCTGTGCTGTATGTAGTAGCCACTAATTTTCATGTTGTATCTTAATGGCGATCTGCGTTGTTGTTTAAACTATGAAATGCTAAGTGCTTCGTTTTTAGCTTTTTCAGTAGTACTGCTCTAAAAGCAAAATGCTCATTTGCATTTCACCAATTTAACAGAACTCTCACCGTTATCATAATTCTCTACAATTCAGACTTTTTTCCCCCTACTTCCTTCTTCTGCTTTTTGCACAAGATGATAGTTGTTTCAAATACTTAGTACCTTCTCTGGGCAACAGCTCCCTTTCTTGCAAGGTTAAGCACTGGGCATATGCTCAGATGGGGAGCAATTCCTGTTGCACCAACTGAAAACCAAGTCTGACCTGTAAGCAGTGCTGCTCTGTTGGTGTTCTCATCTTTGACAACACACTGCTCTGCCTTAAAAAGGATAAGGAGACCTTGCAAGGTGGCTGAGAGGACTGCTGCGCTTTTACTGCTAATGAAATTGTAACGTGATTGAATTATGGCAAAAATCCTGGTGCGTTATGTAGGCTAGTTCAAAATAAGGAGATTAACTGAACTAGAACAGGGCTTGGTGTCTTGCACAGCTCCCATGTCAAACTCTTTGCATTCTGAATCCTGTTTTCTGGTATTCGCACTGCTGCATGTATCGCTCAGGTTTGTCGGAGGCACGTAGCAGGTAACATTTTCAGCAGAAATGTATATCCTGCTGTTCTGTATAATCATGTAGACCAGGTCTTTCCCAGCTTTGTGAGAAAAGTGCAAAGATCTAGTCAGTTGTGTCCATACCACGAAGGTCCAGCTGTTACCGAGGCTTTGTCCATGCAGAATTAATTGGCAGAATACCTTGAATACACTTCCCCACGTTCCCCCAAAATGGGGACTTGTGACCCTTCCAGTATGAGGTGCTCTGCTGTCCATGATGGCAGGAGCTTTATTGGCTGGGGCAGACCACAGTGTTCCTCAAGAGTGGACTGCCTGGATCCCAGGGGCTGGGGGGCAGGGAGCGGCATGCTGCAGACCCCCCTCGGGCTTTTGCCCAGCTGTAGCTGGCTGCCAGACTGCAGGATCCAACTCATTCAGGCACTTGGAGAATCCCAGCTCGGTATGTCCTAATGGGTTCTTTCTAAAACACAGTCCTTACTGTGCAGTTTCCAACAAACCCCACGATGACACAGGTGTGATACCTTTCTCAGCTGTATTTTGGCTGTGCAGATTTTGTTTCAGCAAATTGTGTCATTGTACTTGCTGCATGATCACTCGTTCTGTAATGAATCCCAAATGATCTGATGGTCAAGTACATCTAAAAAGTCAAAGCTTATTTTCCTGTATAAGTTCTACTATTTATGCTTGTCTTTTGAAAAATGTAGTGCTGAAAGTATATTTAACTGTTTCTTTGGTTACTCTGAAAGAGGTCTGCTGGAATAACTGAAGCCAATACTCTTGTAAAGTATGAAGTACTAGATGTCAAAATATTTTGTATTGTAGCAAAATCCAAAAGCTCTTAACTTCATGCTATGGGCAGTGTGTGAATAATGTGAATGATGGTCCAAAGATATCATAAAGAGAATCATGTGCTTTCACAAGCATGAACGCTCTCCCCACTCAAATTTCTAAAATAAAGGACACGTTTCATCCACTATATTCTTCCTTACTGCAAAGTAACTTGAGCAAAATCTTCAAGTTATTTGGAGTTTTTTTCATTAATGTGAGGAAAATTACAAGTGTCACAGTGGCTGGTTACAAATAAGCAGCTTCATATTGTTCATTTAGGCCAGTATTAGTAATTCTTGAAGATCTTTTTAGTTGAGACATATTGTAAATAGATTGCAGGGAAGGGCAGAAGTTGGTTGATCAGGGTGGGGGTCGAAGGATGTTCCCCAAGTCCAAGCATGTGAACTGATGTGTGTGATTTCCTTCTTCCAGTTTGAACAGGAGAACCAGAGACTCGTTGGTGAAATGAATAATCTCTTTGATGAAGTCAGGTACAATTTTCTGTTACTTGGCAGACTGCCATGCATGCTGGTCCCATACCCCGGACAACACCCCCACACAGTGAATTGGCTGCAGGACCCCGGCTGCGTGAAGTGCAGCGCTGTGGCAGGAGGAGGGACAAAACAGGAGCGCCCAGGAAATGAACTGTATGAGTTTACACACTGTGCCATCCCACTGTGTAAAGAATGGTTCTGAGTGACACACAAACTATCCAAAATGGCATTAGTTAAATTTGGAAGGTTTATGTTCTATCTCCCTTACCTTAAGTTTTAAAAGCGTACATTTTTTCCATTCATATCACGCTGTCTGCTGCACACACAGGCAGCAGGAGGAGAGGTGCAATCACCAGCCCCCATGCCGAGACCTGTCTCCATGGCAGAACGGCTGCGCTGGCTGCTCTCTGCTTGCTGTGCAGAAAACCTGACCAGCTAACTACAGCTAGAACTTTACTTTGGGATTATTATCACGAGGGAAAGTGAATTCCACACTTTGTAGCAGCATATAAAAAGGATATGTCAAAATCAACTGCTTAAGGGCCACCATGGATTTTGCTACATGAGAGGAAAGAAGGAAGATCTGTGAAGCTCTTGCAGTGAAGGATGCTATCAGAGAATTTCCAGAGCTTCACTGCGGGCTGGTCGTCTTCCAGCCGTGAATTGTCAGAGCCCTTATCACAGGCTATTGCTGCGAAACAGGCGGCTAACAAACAGTTCTGCCTTTTGAATAGCCTGCTTACTGGCTTGGAGACTCTGAATCTGCAGGAGAACAAAATGTTTGCACCAGTTTCTAATGGCGTATTTCTGTTCTTTGCCAAGACAAATTGAAGGGAAAGTGGTGGAAATCTCCAGATTACAAGAGATATTTACTGAAAAAGTCTTGCAACAGGTTAGTATAATTTAATACCACAGCAAATACAGCTGGAAGATTTTTCTTGGGGGGTATTTTGGTCTTGGTTGCATGCAAGATGTAAACATAAGATTAATGAATCTGTGACACAAATGTGAAGGAAAAGATTTTTGTTTGTTTTTCAAAAGCAAAATCGAGATTTTCACTGTTGTTACTTATGAGTATGTACTGGGAATGCAACGTGTTAGAATGATCCCTCTGCCTCAGAGTTAGTGTCCTGTTAAATGTGTTATTTAATAGCATCTTTTCTGGAAATGGTGGCACCTCTTCCAAAAGAGCTGTCAGAAATTCAACAGGTTAGGTTTGATTCTAGATAAATGGGAGACTTCCTCTTGATCTTGCTGGTCTCCATTCAGGCTCATAAAATCACAGGTAAAGAAATTACAACTTAATTGCCTCTGTACGTTTGCATCATTTAAAATTAGGATGTTAATAATACCAAATTTTATATTTGAGTTCTGCTTGTTCTCCAAATCCTTGAATTGTTTTTGCTTAAAATTTATCACAGTTTCTCAATTTTATTTTATTTTTAAACAGGAAACTGATATTGACAATATCCATCAATTAGTTGTGGGTGCAACAGAGAATATCAAAGAAGGCAATGAAGACATAAGAGAGGTAATATCTCTGTTTTCAAGTCAGTTAAATGTCAGTTTTGACCAAGTGTTGCTTTAAACAGCAGGTACAAACTCACAGCACAGGTGCAGTGTGTGTTGGCACGTCAGGACGTGATTTTGGAAAAACTGTACAAGTTAGCAAAGGCTCTTAGTTCACGTTGGTTGTCTCGCTAACCATGATTTGAACAGCTATACAGGGCTCCAGAAATCTACTTGGGCTCACCTGGCTTTTAAACATGAAGGTCACCTGCTGTGCATTTAAGCATCTAAGCATCTGTGAAGTTTGCTTAAAAAAGGGGTGGGGGGGGGAAGGGGAGGAATTGCAGACTCAGACTAAAGACAGTGCTGAAATTGTTGAAATGGGAGTTAAACCCTGAGCATTAGCAGAAGAGTCTCCTTACCAGGCTGAATGCATTTCACATGCTCCCAGTAAACAAATCTACCCCATTGTCTTACTAATTACAATGAAATGATGTTTTCTTTCAGGAAATGAGATTTCAATAAAAACAGAGTTTCTAAATTAGGCTACTGAGTAAATGGCTCAGTTCTTGTTTTTTTTTCTCCCTCCTGAAAGCACACAGATATTCAAGGATCCCTTATCTACTGCTCAGCTCTCCTGAAAAGTGCATCACACATACATTAGCAAGCATAACTTAGGGACTTAAAACTTATGATTTGGAGCTTATTGCCACATTTCTTCAAGTAGAAGAGAGTATCTGGAGTGTTCCCTCCAGTAGCTGTCCAACAGGCATGGTGGTATGGCACATAGTGGGGAAGACATCTGTGGGTTTTTTTAAAAGACTTAAATCAATAGAGTTACTAGTATTTAGCATACTCTTACTCTGCCTTTTCATCATGATTCTTAAGCACTTTAGATGGGACACTTGGAGGGTACAGAGGTGTCAACTGATTGTCCCAGTGTTCATAGTTAAGAGATTGGGATTCAGCATTGCATGAAGTTATTTCTGCTTGATTTTTCACATTTGTAGGTAGAACTAGGTTCCACCTAACTACACCACACTGAGAAACAGCAGAGTAAGGTGATAAATACAAAACTTCATCACTCATGTTAATGTTTGTATCACATTGAACTTTTTTTTTTTTAATGTGTAAATCTGAAAAATGAGAGAGAAAAACAGGTCCCCTGCTATATGCTGGTCTTAATTTTGTGAAGGAAAATCCAAGAAAACTACTTGCTCCTTGCTCTGCTTGTTCCAAGAATTAAATACTTGATTGACGGTGCTCACTGAAACTCCAGAGATATAGCTGTCAGGTTTTGGGGGTTTTTTTATTCTTTTATTCAGAAGATGTTTAGTAGAATGATGAAGACCCGATTAATTCTCATCACAGAATTTCACTTTTGGAACTTAAAACTAACCCTTACGCATGCATCTTGTGCTGTAGGTCTTAATGTTTTGAATGCATTTCCATTGTGTGGGATCTTGTAATTTTTTTTTTTTCAAATGACCAATTTTAAGATTTTGAGAGCAACTCTAATATAAGAGGTATACCCAACCTGACTTTTATTCACCTGAAATTAAGGGCAAGTTTGGTTCCTTCTCTTGTGGGCGGGAAGAGCAAAGCCACCAACAGTCACCATGGGTTGCCATTGTTGAAATTCTCCTGTATGTTTAATGGGGATGGTAATAGAGATAATCTTTTCCTCACAGGCCATCAAAAACAATGCTGGATTTAGAGTATGGATCCTGTTCTTCCTTGTGATGTGTTCATTTTCCTTGCTTTTCCTGGACTGGTATGATAACTAATTAAAAACAGAATATTGTCTACATGCTTTGTTTGTAAAACTTTTGACTTTTTTTCCAATGCAGCAGGGTATATGGCATACCGCATACTTTACCTATTTTTTTCACACTCCTATGCTTGAAAACATTTTCCAAAAAATAAGCAGGTGTATTAGCACAGAGAAAGCTGATAGCATTCATTTAAAATCCCTTTATCAAACATAAAACCACACTTATTCCTGCAACAAACATAAACCTTTGAAAGAGCTGTTAAGAAAGCTACAAGCTGGAGCATAGCTAACAGAAGAAAACAAAGATAATGTTTTTATCGTAGTTACCCCCACATCTGTGATATTTGAAGTCCAGCTCCCAGAGTACAGACCAGATCAAGAGAAAACTGTTACTGTGCAAAAGCATCTACACTGTCTCAGGCTTTTATTTAATCATATCACTTCAGTACATAGTGATCATTTTGCACATGTATGACCTCTACTTCTAATCCTTTGAAATTACTTGAGTCAGTGATCAGGTTGATTTATAGTAATAATACGTCAACTAAAGAGCTTTACTTCTAGGTGAAAAGAGAGAATACAACACAGATTGTGCAATGAAACAGATGTTCTGGGATGTCAGAACAAAGCCAAAGGACAGACAATATTAAAGCCAAACTCTTCAAAGTACTAAAATTGAGAGCAATTTGTTAACTAAAAACAAGAGTCTCAAAACCAACAACAGATAAGAATCAATAAACTCCATCCTGCTAAATCAGGAAAAAATGGGTTTGACTTCAAGAAGCATAAGCAATCTGTTTCTCCTAGATCATAAAGCTTAGTATCTTTTAATGTTTATTGTTATGAGAGAGAGAAATAAGTTTTCTCATCAGTATTTACTTGTGCATTAAAGTTTTATTGTCCTAAATTTAAGGGGAGGAGATGTATCATGAATCATTTCTATGTAGGGCAGTCTTGGGGAACAGATCTTTCCATCTTGTAAAATATGAATGCCCTCTGTAAATATCTTGATATGAAATACCTGTTTTGCTGTCTCTCTTCTGAAATGTGTTTTTCCATACATTACATGCAACAAGCAGCATAATCCTTATTCTTTACTCTGCACAGAGTGAAAATGTCAAAAGTTCCATGTGAATTAATTACATCCAATAAAGCACATACCTACTAGAAAATGCAAATGTCGTATGTCTTGAGTATCTTAACAGAAGCTTGAAATTTTCAAATGCAAAGAAAAATTTGGCACATAATTTATTGCTTTTTATGCATAACAACCTAATAAGAAGCCTTTCAGAGATATTACTGTAATGCACATTTCACCTCAAACCTAGAGAATTACATAATGATGGTTATTTTTACTGTATTGTTGATAAAACAATTCTACTGGAGAAAAAATAGAAGTAGAGCTCACCATGTTTGTTCTAGTACAGACTGTGAGAAACAGCCCATACTGATGTTTTCTCTTCATTTTTGTATTGTCTCTACCAAAAAATAAAATGGAACTTTTGACATGTCCTCTACAACTTGTCCCATTCAAGTTACATGAACAAAAAGGTAACTTGGTTGCCCCCATGATTCACATACTTTTGTCTGTTAAATTAATAAGATGTCTTTTTTGTAATATATATTTAAAATTTATAATAAAAATGAAAACATGGTTTCACACAAAGAATAGATAAGTTTGTAATTACAATGGAACTTTACCGTGCATCCACAATACTATGTTCTTCTACATCTTTCCCCCTCCCAAGCCATACACAAACAGTTCTACTCTTCACTCAGTTTCACATGTAGCTTTAAAACAACCCGTTGTGTTATCTAATCAGTACACTATTGTTTCACTTGTGATGATCTGCGTTTTAAACAGTATCAAACTCCAAACCATATATAATCTGAAAGCTCTTTCTAATTAATAAAAAGGGAAAATGTTAATGTAATAAAAGACAAAATTTAGACATATTACTCCCTCTGTCATATCCAACAAATTACACAGTGGACTACATCTACTGTGAATAGGCTTTCTGCCTCTTAAGTATGATCAAAAGATGTCATTTCTCATTAGAACATCCTGAACTGTATATTTCTTTACACTATCCTCAACATCCATCACTACACGTGCCTGTGTTCTTCCATAATGTCTACTAGTTTTTGTTTCAGTGCACATCTGTACCAAGATGCTAAAGCCACAGTGGAAATGCAGTTAAATCCTGCTGACAGCAATAATAAAACATTGAGCATGCCTTGTTGCAGAGAACTTCATTATCACTTACAAATAAACAACAGTAAAGAAGATGTAAGAAAAATGCTACCCGACAGTTTCTTTCTCCATACAAGTCATTACGTTATGCCCTTGACATCAGTGCTGACTATCAGTCTTGCTTGAGCCAAAACTAAACATTACACACAGCTTTCAGCTAAACAAGAGATCACTCTAGTTATGGCTGGGGTGTTTCAGTTTGCAAAATGACACAGAATTAAAAAATTGTTAAATAAAGTATCAGTTCAGACAACAGAATACATGATTTATCTAAGGTCCAAGCCCTGAAAATCCAGTGAAGAAATCTGTCAGTATCCAATAAACTGCAAGAACATATCTACCACTGGAATTTTTTTAACATTGAAAATGGTGTCAAAGCTCTAAAGCAATGCTGATATGCATCTTGTTTTATGCCCATGAGTGTTCTGCAGCAAGTTTTTGTTTTGGTTTCTGTTTTTTTGCAAAGCAGTATCAGCAAACAGAAGCAATTGCACCATAAACATGAGCAACCTCTAAATTATCCATAATTATATTTAACGAAAAGTTCCTTAAAGTCCCTTAGTTACCTTCAAGTGACATAGTATGATAAGCTAATTATTAACACTAAGCTGATTTCTCAGCAGCTTCAGTCTCCTGTTCAGATAGTTTCTCTTCTGACAGTACTGTCATCCACGGGGACACTGAGCGCGTGATGGTTTGTTTGGCCAGATTGTAGTGGTTTATGACTGTGTAAAATTTCCCTCGGGCACTGGAGTCTTGTTCAGAGTAGTAGTTTTCCAACCCAGCTGGAATGCACTGATTATTCTGAAAAGAAAATCCATCACTTCGATTACAGATACAGCCCGATACACACCAAAAGTAGATTAGGTTTTTTCTCTTCCTTCCAGTCTAAGCCAACATTCACTTTCTTGGAGTCAAGATGCAACATACAGCAATTAACTACAGTGTTGTCCTACTGTGTTCAAAATGTTCGGCCCTGCAATCCTTAAAACTACTCATGGGTTTGCCAAGAAGACCAATCTGGATTTATATGCCAGAATAACTAACATACAAGAAACATGCTTGCCTAAAATTATTTTTAAGAGTATTCAAACTCTAATTCCAGATGTATTTTGCTGGTTTTTCCTCCCTGCCTAGTTCCAACTGTTTGGTCTACAATTACAGATGTCTGTGTTAGATTAGCTTCAGGCACTTCATTACAGTGTTTTCAGTCTGAGGGACAGAAATTAATACAGATATATTGGTGCCAAGGTATGAACAGCTTTACAGCCCAGTAAATAAGACATACGGGAAAACATTGTGGGTGGCCAAGCTTCGTGCATACACATACAAAATACTTCACTCTTGATTGTCAGAAAGATGGAGCCAACAGCTTTTTAAAAGCGTGCTATCTTTAGCTGTGGGACTACATTATTTAATTTTCCATCAGTGTACGAGCACTACATAGAAACTGCTAGGTGCTCAGAGCTTTTGGAGGTTAAATACCTGATTTAGAGAGTTAAATACTAAGTAGGATCCGAACTATGCTGTCATCTTAAAAATCAAAGTGAATGTGCACATGCAGTGCATGCAGGTAGCATTTAGCAACTGTACCAGTGATGATGCAGTGAAAGCCTTCAAAGCTGCTAGCTGCACTGAAGGAAAAAATTATTTGGACATATCCTGTGACCCCTGCCCCCCAGGTTTTGCTCCAGAAGGTCACGGGTCTCTCTGCAGTCTTCCTTGATACCTCAGGGTGTGGGGCAGTCATCTGGGCAACTGAATTGACCCTCTAAAATATAAGCTATGAGTAGCTGCAGCTTGAGGGAAAATAAGTTTAATCATTTCTACTCTGACTGTTTTAAAAAAAGGCTTTTCAGTCTTCCTGCCTCCAGCACTGGACTAAAATTCATAATGCTACAGCACAGCAACTTTGAACTGCTACTGTTCTCATAGAACTTTGTCAACAAAACTTAATATTGGAAATTTCTGAGCCAAAACCACACGCAAAAATGTCATGGTTTTTAGGACCAGATGCAATCTCAAATGTGTCCACATTTACTTCTGGGTTGACTCATTGTCCTTGTCAAAAAAAAAAAAAAAAAAAAAAGAAAGAGAGAAATGGCACAAATAAGCACCCATAACAACAGTTTCAAAATGGTTTAAATCATAAAGTACAAAATGACGAGGGGAAAGATCCAGCAGACAATCTTGGCTTAACAGAAATTTTACATCCTAAAAAATGTTACAGTGAAAAAAAAGCATTAAAAGGTACGAAAGAAAAAAGCAAAACTTGCCAAAACAACAGGCCTACAGGTAGTCTTGTGAACCTGCCTGCCCCGATGACTGCAATCCTGCAGCAGATTTGACTGCTGAAAGAAGAGTCGCTGTCACAAGACTCAACAGCCCTCTCAGAGTGTTAACACCTCATCGGTCCTAACCTGCTTGTGCACAGAAGCCTCGATATGCGTCAAGAGTTGCAATAGTGCTCAAAGTGACCACATCCACCCAGGTTCAGTTTATTTGTTATCTTTTGTTAATGCAGCAGCCAGGACAAATCTTCCCTCACAGTTCTGTTTGAAGTAGCAACTACAAAGCAGATGGGCTTTAGCCCTGGCTAAGCAGACACCTGTGCCTGTTCAGCACTGTTCAAATCAACAGAGGTTTCCCCATGCTCATAATCATCGTGTATGCCAGCTGCAAGACCAGGACCTAGACTTAAAAAAAAATCCAGGACAACTCTGGAATAAGGCTATTTGATATGCATGCTCACCTACATCAACCATGCCTTCTGCAAGTATTATCCATGCTTTATCT